GGCTCCTCCTTTGCTTTGCCTGTAGAAAAAGGGATTTCCGCCATCCCGCCTTCCCTTTGATAAGGAGCGTTTGAATATATCATATGAAGCCCAGTTACGGGTAGATAGGCCAAATTGGGAAAAAGGCAATGCAAATTAGAAGAGGAAAACTCGTTGAAGAAGAAATCCCAGAGTCATGATGATCAGCCATGAACACAGTGCACACTCACAGTCTCTCAGTCTCTTAAACATTGGGATGTGGAGTCAAGCGCAGTGATAGAAAGTCAACTTACCCAACAAAAGACAACAACACACGTACCTCCCTTTCTAGCCAATTTTGAGTTCATTTCTTTGGCGTGGCTCAACGAACTTCATCGGCCGTTGGACTCTTCTCCGCTGGCCTAGTGCGCTTTCCCACTGGTGCCCGCGCCCGCATGCACCGATGGCGGCTCCGTAGGTGCGCTTGGTCCGCTGGATCTGCGAGGGTCACCAGTGGAGCAAACAGCGCAGGGGCGGAGGTGGAACTGTTCCAAACACAGCTGCCATGGACGTGGGACTGTGGGATATGTGGGGTTTGAGGCAAGACTTCCAGGAGCTCTCATGGGAAGAAGAAACACTGTATTGAATAGTATTAGTAAATCTTGCCAGAGTGCAAGTATGTGCAAGTTCTGTTTCCAAAGGGCAATTGATGCAGTCTTCCACGGTAGTTTTCCACCAAGACGCGCTTCTTCAACAAGAAGTATTCCGTGAAATTCAATTGAAGTGCCTGGGCTCCGCTGTGAGAAACCCGCCTGCAACTGATCCATCCGCTTCAGCAGCTGCAAAGCACTTTCAGCACTGGAGGCGCGTCCACAGGCGCCCAGGGCCGCGTTGTAGGCCACCGCATTGGGTCGAAGGTGCCTGGGCGGAGCGCTCGAAGGTGCCAGGCGCTCCTCAGGTTCGGTATGACTGGACCCTCCTGGCACCCACCCCAGTCCCACCTTCGAAGGTGAGGGGACTTGGAGGCCTAGGGTACTTGTACCATCGAACGTACCAGTTTTTGATGGGAACGTTGGATTCTTCTAAATGCTAAAATTGGTGCGAATTGAAAGTTCTTTAATCTAGGCACGTGACCTGATAGCAATGGGTTATATAGAAACTCTGAAACTCTCGTTTCCGGCAAATGGTGCAAGTAGAGTTTGTGTCTATGCTCAGCTTGTACAATCATGCTTGCACAAGCTTTTACGACCGAAGGATCCGGTGGGCGAGCTCTTTATCGGTGAAAGATCATGCCAGAACCAACGAAGCCGTGTTCAGCCTGGCTCCGAGGCTCCATAATTCCACCTCCAGAAGGAGCTTGATGGCTTCCTCCTAGGCTGAAGGCAGGTGAGGGAGGATCAATCAATCGCGGAGCGCTCCGTGATGGCCTTGGACTAGTGAGTGAGTCATAAAAAAAGGCCATGTCCCAAAAGATGCTGCAAATTACGCCCCATCTGCAAGGGGCATCACCTGAAAGAAAGGCCTTCATCTTGAAGACGTCAACGGCACATCCTGTGGTAAGGGCATCCACTAAAGCATACTAAAGCTATTTATCGCTCAATTCTTTACATACCACGCCTTCAATGTTGTAAGTAAGAATCATCTGCAAAATGCCACATCCCGTGGGATTTGCCACCAAATACATTCAATGGCTCTGTAAAAATTTCTTGTAGCTGATAGGGTGAGATCCACTCACTCGTGTTGAGCTCTGAGGAACATGACGGTGACAAAGGCTTGATTGTTCCTCACCTCTAGACTCAAACTGTTGACAGCCGGCTTCCTGCTATGAATTCTTGGGCGCCCAATGTGTCCCATCCAATGAACCCATTGAAGCTCTGGCTCCGTGAATTCTGAGGGTCCAGACCCAAGCACCACCATTCACACAGGCTGAGATGGCCCGACCAATGGCCAAATCATTGGGCCTCAGCGATGCCAAGAGGCTACAGGAGCCCATGGAGCCCATGGAGAAGAGGCTACAGGAGCCGCCACTTGAGAAGAAAGGGACCCTCCCAACAGGGGTTCTGAAGCCTAGTGGATTTGACTTCCTTCTAGTGTGGCCACTAGGCTTGCTCATTCGTCTGCGTGGCGTGGTCTCAAAGCGTGGAGTGGTCTGCTTACCAGGGTAGTTCCTGTCAGGAGCTACTCCACCACAGTAGAGGTGAGGCCACGAAGCACGTTCTCTTGAGTGTTAGCCTGCACTCTAATCACCCACCATTTTCCAAAAGCCACACTTAACCCCTGGAAACCTGTCCTGCAACCCATGGTCGCACCAGCTTTCCATTTGGGCTACCTGCCACCAGCTACCCTTCGTGTGATGTCGCTCGTCTGGCGGAGTTTCGCAGGAACCATTCGACCGGGGGCCTCACTGAACCGTTTGATCATGCATGTCGCGGAGAAGCTGTGCAGCCTAAAGGGAGCGACTGAGCTCACAGGCGCGACTGAGCTCACAGGAAAAACATATACTCTTACAGTGATGTCTTTTAGATGGGGGTCCATATAAACCACCTTTTAGATCCTTTTGGGGTCTGTGCCATCTATTCTCAATCCTTTGCAATGGAAGATTCCCTTCACAATCTCAGATTCTTGGAGGAGAACAATGGTAAGAGAGCATCCCTATGCTTTTAAGGACCCCCCAGGTGATGTAGGATTTCTGAAAAATGAATGGCAAGTATAGTTGTCAGTTGTCATTAGTTGTTCAATTCTGGAAAAATCAATGTTTGAACTTAGAGTTCCTCAAGATAGAGGGCAGGAAGGTGCAGGAAGGGATCTCGATTCTTAGGTCATCAGCAGCGCATGAGCTAGCTATGATGCTATTCTGCATGTTCACAAACAAACAAACAAACAAACAAACAAAGATTGGCGTGGGAAACTGTAGATGAACGTGCACATGCTGAGTTCCAGTGCAAAGGCAAGAAAAACTGTCAGGATGAGCTCCTCGGAACCCATTCCGTCGAAGGAGTGTCTGTCGGGCAAGGTCTTGGAATTCATTCCAATCACCGGCTGGCCTCTCTGGCTGAACCCAGCCGCACCATTACACCCAAGACCTGGCAATTGGGCAAAGAACTGGGATTTTGCTCCAAGGGCGATGTTGTATGCCCTTGGTAAGGTTCAAAGAATCCTCTAAAGTCAATAAACAACACTTCTTGGCTCAACAACCAAGAAGAAGATATCACAGCCCAAGAAAGCAAGCTGCAATCTCTGGCCTCTGAGCAAGCTGCCGCTTCAAGTCTGCCTTCCAAGCGCCAAAGCTCCAAGGCCTAGCTCGTATGGGCCCGCCTTGAACAAGCGAAACTCCTCTCTCTCACTCTCTCTCTTGTTGCATGGTGTCCACATGTTCCCTAGTGACCGAGATGTGATGTCTCAGGGATGACTTGCGACAAACACCAGGGTTGATCAGGGTACCAAAAAGCCTTTGAACACATATTTTGAACACAGTGAGTCAGGGTCCAGGACTGTGCTTTCTCTGCTCCAGTTGTGCCCGCATCCGGTCCTCACAAAAGTCTTCCTCTGCAAAAAGTTATCCTCACTCCAATTTGCCAATGGAGAAAGCCCTCCGCGGAGAGTATTGCATCTTAGTAGATTTGCACATGGTCCTGCTTTCATTGTTAATGGATATTAATGGTAGCCCCATTCGGGTTAAAGTCTTAAAGGCGCATATGAAGAACAAGCCATGTCGCTATATGGTGGAATGTTGCTCAAAATGTGGCTACAAACGCTACAAAACAGGCGACCAAACCAATCTGGCCTTCAGCAAAAAACCCTTCCCAAACACCCTCAAACAAATATCATCCGCATCATGCGCAAGAGGTCAAAAGCCATGCCTGCAAGTCCAACCCCCGTCATCCCGTACCAAAAACACCCAAAGCGGCTCCGTCCCCTCGCCTCCTGCCATTTCCCCTGCATTCGCAATCTCCCCAGCTGCTGCAGTCCACCGAAGTCACGGCGATGGGACTCATGGCAGGACTTCCTGGGTTTCGGAGCCAGGCGCAGAAGTAGGAGCCAAGGAAGGGGTGACGCAAGGGCTTCACCCACCACGTGGGTTGATTGCAGTAAACATAATAACACTGCTTCATTGTGAATAACTACCAGTTAAAGGCTTGCCATAAAATCAACATGTGTCCTCCATCTATTTCACCACGCAAAGGTGACCAGCTGCAGTCGACAGGGCCCACCAGCTGACGTCGAATCAGTGGTTTTCGGGGAGCTGGGCAAAACAGGGCAAAAATTGCCGAAAACTAATATGGACCAATGGACCCTGTGGTTTTGGCACCCTGAGTCCCACTGTTGTCCTTTACAAATCAATGGTTTTCAAATGTTTTCAGACTCCATGTTAGTCTTCAGCGGGGCTGGGAAAAATTGCAACCAAGCAAAAGGTCACAGCTGGACGCTCCATCGGATCTGGCAGGAGCCCATGCCTCGTAGCCTCCCAGCGCATGAGACCTGTCTTTTCTCGCCTGTAAAGCGATGAACATGACCGGGAATCCTACCTAAACCTGTGTGCAAACTCATTGTTGCTCCCAGAGTTGCTTGAGATTTGCTCAATCTGTGGTCTTTGAGATGCCAACAATTTGCTAACTTGCTAAACCCAACTTAGTGCCAAACCACGGCGATTGTGTGCACCTTTGCTCGTGCCCACTGCCACTCTCATCCCCCAAACCCAGTCAGCACACATTCAGAAGTGAGCCATGTTGGCAGGAAGTTCTGCCAACAAGGCTCCCAATTCTCCTGTACATCGGCCCTTTGGGCCATGGGTGTGATCCATATATCTTGGGTCTATCCCATTACCGGGTTTCAGTGGATGATGATGCTTAGTAAAGGCCGGCCTTGTTCCAAAATAACTAGTGATCATTGTTTACCGACTGGTACAGGTAATAGGACAGACCCAACACACATCCATATTTATATATATTGTTAAGTATCATTTATCATACAATAATATTCAACCAAATGGAAGCAGGTCTGAATATCAATCTCACTCATCTCGGATGATCTTGAAACTGAAACTGCTGAAGTCTTTCGGAGCTTGGCCCAGAGTGTTTGGGAGTTCGGAGATCGGTATCATGCAGAAACACAGCCAGGGCCATGTGATTAGCCACCCCTTCAGGGTGGAAAGCCAATCGCGACTTAGCAAATCTTGATGTTGCGGCTGGCCCCACAGGAGCCCACTTTGCCTCAGGCCGTGAGCGGCACCGAAGTGGCAAGCAAAAATGGTACAAAGTTGGACACGGAGAAAAACACGGTATGGACTACATGGATACCATGCACATCTGAGTGCAACATGAACCATGAGCCGCACAACACACACACCAAAAAACTGAGTGCAACACCACGATCTTGCAATAGCATCAAGGACAAGTTGGCCTTGCTTCGCGCAGCGCACGACACATGGTCCATGAAACAAATGAAACACCGAAGGTCACCGAAGTGAGCTGAGATCATGACTTATGACATGTCAGCTCACTTAGCGATTATGAAAACGACATCTCTTCAAGTACAACTCCGACCCTACAAATTGGTTGAAACAAACCACTTCCTCGATTTGTATGTGATTTCTCCTCATACATCGCCGTCCCCACGGTTCCAAGACCCACCGGCGCCAGTACAAGGTTGGCCTAAAAGTAAGAGTGCCCGAAAACGTTCCAATGATATCCAATGATGAGTGAGTAATCAAGTATCACCAAGTGATTAAAAACATGATAGAACACTTGGAATCAGTTCAGCTCGCTGGTCTGTCTGCCCATGGCGGTAATCGACAGCGGCAAACACCACCGCTGAGGTGGACTGGAAATAGACCAATCCCAAAGACCAAAACATGCTTCCAACCAGCTTTGACTCATCCAACTTGCCACCGGTTCGCTTTCTTCAAGCTTTGTATCAACACAAGATGTAATTCAGACTCTAAAACGGACTTCCATGTGGCCAAACCAACCAGTCAACCAAGCTCAACCTGCTCAACCTGCGAGCTTTTGCCGGGTGTCAGGGCCACAGGGCCCCATCAGCAGATCGTCCAAGGATGGCGACCCCCTTGGCGCTTGACGCGGCGTCTCCCCGCGCACCGCACCCAGCGGGGTCCGCGGGGCCGCCCGCGGCGCCGCCCGCGGCGCGGCTCGCGGCCACTGCCGGGGATGAGCGGCCTGGCAACCAACATGGAGGCATATTCACTTCAAAGAAGAGACGGAAACAAATGGTTGAGCTGCAGCTGCTGGGATGCCAAAATGCCAAATGACCTACATGCATCTCCCACCATCTCGCACACTTGGGGGTAAGCCAGGATTTCGCTTCAAATGATTTTGGAGATGGTTGCTGGTTCCTAACAATTCCCCTCATATAAGGGCGGGGCCACCAAACCATCCCAGCTTGACCCCCGGACACCCGGAGGGAGTCCAAAATGATTCCCCAGAGGTTTGCACCCGGAGATTTGCCAATCCTTGACTCCTGCATACTGCAGCATACTCTTGCTCAACGCACATCTGCTAGTACCTGTTGCCACAACACAAGCAAGCCGTCGCAAGCCATCCGGCGCAGTTGTTACACTTTGAGAAGGAGCTGCAAAGGGTCAAAACATGTCAAAACTAAATCTTGCCACCCTGAAGACCAGAATCACTGCCTTTCCGCGGAACCCACCACGCGGAACAGTGTGGCCTTCAAACGCAGCCGTGCCCCGGAAGCGGTCCTGGCTTCGGAACGTCGGACACAAACGGTGCCTGATGTGTCCTATACCTGGTTTGTTTCTACTTCTACATTGCACATGCCTCCCGCAAACAAACATGCATCAGGAGCAGAATGTTCCATCATCACAAACGCAAAATACACTAATCTTAGGAGGGACCAACGATCCAGCTGTGGTCTCGCAAACCCATTTGGATCTCTCTCTCTCTCTCTCTAGCCAACTCCAGGAAGAACGTTTTGTCTTGGGAGATGTGCATGTCCTCCTGTTCTTTGACCAAAGTACTTTGGACTTGCGACCGCTCTACCTAGTTGCCTCTCCCAAGCACCACATCCTGCCCATGGATCAGGGCACGTTTGGCATGGTGGCATGGAATGTCCCAGCAAATGGCTAGAGAGACTCCACCCATATCAACCCTGCCTCAGCTTCGCTGGCGCCGTGGTGGCGCGGGGGCCCAGCTCCACGAGCTGCTCCAAATCCAAGACCTCCAAAGATGGGATCAGATCTGCTCAGTGGGGTGCACTGATGGTTTACAAAGCTTGCCAGTTTAATGTTGGATGTTCCTCATTGTCATTGATCCAGAACAGCTGATGACAAGGTGAGCTGCCTGTCGCACTAAGAACAAGGTGGATGTGGATGTCTGATCTTTTGTTCCTTCAGTAGACCCTTTTGTCTAGAACTTGCAGCATGTTCCCATCATCTTGGATCATCTTGTGGCAGCTTCGCTGTGGTTCACCACTATCCTTCCGACCAGGTCAGATGCTTAAGACGATGGAGGATCCGGACATCCGACCCGAACGCGCCTGTGCCAGGTATTGTCGACTGCCTCCCTGGTCGGCCAAGGAGTCATCTGCCTGCCGGTCGGCGAGCAACATCTTGAGGCAATCAATGAGAGAAAGAAAACAACAAGTAGTAGCAGGAAGCTACTAGGGGCTCCTGGCATCGCTACTAGGAGCAAGGACGCTACTAGGGGCTCCTGGCCTAACTACTAGGAGCAAGGACGCTACTAGGAACAAGTAGCTATAATAAACAAACAGTCTAACAGTCTAACAGGTAACCAGTCTAACCCACCAGTCTAACCGTTTGTCTAGTCCAACCAGTCTAACCCACCCGGAAACTCATCAAACATCCAGTGCAGGACAAATTGGCTGTCTCCAGGCTGAAGTTCAAGGCTGATGTGGCCGTGTCCAGGCTGAAGGTCAAAGCAGACGTCCGGGTGTTTTGCATCTCCTCCATCGCCTGCGGTTTTGCCGCAGTTTTGCGGCGTTTCAATCTTGTCCTGGCATGTTCGTTTGGGATCCTTGTCAGCAGCTGGCTCAAATGACTCAATCTACATGATCATGCTTCATCTGATTGCAACAATCTGCCAAAACGCTAAGTGACACCATCTGGAAACCACTGACGCAGGGTGAAAGATTGAAAGGACATGGAGAGAGAAGAAACAAAAAAAACAAACAACACGTCATCCATGAGCGAGCTCCGTCACGTTTTCATCAGTGCACAGGAAAACCTGGAGGAACCTGGCAGAAGTGGTGTTTCATCGCACGCTGAAGTGGCGCATCCACTGCCGACGCTGGAAGAAAACGCACGCCGGCCCGAGCGCTTGGCCAATCGCCTCCGGAGGGATGCTGATGGACAAACTCTCCCTCAGCTCCTCCAGGGCTACGCTACCTACGTGGCCACACCTGTAGCTAGACAGCTTCCCAGACTTGCGAGTAAGCACGGAAAATGCCACAATGTAACATAACACAACCCCATAATGACGTGAAACTTGAGGATTACTCAACTTCTTCATCTCTGATCAGGACACAAACTCTCTGACACGACTGGTGCTAAGTCGTGCGGCCGTGTCACACGTGTTTGATGGTTTTTGCGTCCTCCGGCTTCAAGGTGTGCACCGAAGAGATGTCGGCGGCCTGGACGGTGAGACGCACCGTAGAAGACAGGAGAGGTGGGATCGGTGTGCAGAGGCAAGGGGGCCCATCCACTTTCATGTCAGAGAACAAGGAGCGGCGCCATCATTATCCAACTAAGCCAACATGTCGGCGCCGTATGGGATCGTATGGGCCATATGACTCACATGTCTGAGAATGTCTGACACATCTCTCCGCATCGATGTCCTGACATGGTCTTCTCATGTCTTCTCCAGCCAAGCAAACCATTTGAGCAACATGCGTCACGTCAAATGAGAACACTGAACGAACCCGCCGCAGCGGTGTGAACGATTCATCGAGGGAGATTATCATGGAAAGCCTTTGGTATGGGTTGCTATGCCAGGGGCTGCACCCAACTGCGCACGGTGCTGTCCGAGCCTGACGCTCCGTCACAGATCCGTTCATCATGTAGAACCTCGCAAAAATCATGCTCAAGGTCTTCAAGAGAGTCTTGGGTTTCTTGAATGCTGCAGGTCTTCGTCCGACAAGCTATGAAGACCACCTTGGACTCAAAAGGCATCAAAACATCGTATTCAGTTTGCTTAGAACCAAGAATTGGCATCTTTCCCCCAGAAAAGAAAACCTCTCGAACTCGTGGACTCCAGTAGTTTGAGAGAGCACTTGGCCCCCTTGACAGGGCTGAATGCTTAAGAAGTGCTGCCCTCCAACTCCATATCATGACTGTACCGTAGCTTTTCCAGAGTGCAACCAGGGAGAAAAGAACCTTACCTTCAGATCAGAAATATCTGCGTTTCTATCTTGTGTTCGCTTGTTCTATCTTGTTGTGGCCACGTAGTGCGGGCGTGGTCTTTCTCTCTCGGAGACTCAGGCTCATTATGTCCCGAATGGTGAAAACACGTCCAACCCCCGAAAGGCCTGGGTTGCTTCTTGGGCAAAACCTTCTTCGCCTCAATGTGCTGGCAACTGCTTTGACATGTGCGACTGCAGTGATGGAACGGTGAGATGGTGAGGTCGTTTTCCTTCAAAGGACCTAACACACATCCTCGAACCAAATCAAAACAAGTGTCCTTGGTCCTGCAGCCCAAAGAACTATTGTGAGCAACAATGTTTAGTTTAGGGGTCTCAAAATTAGCAGGCTCAAAGTAGCTGGTCCATGTCGCCAACAACGCAAAGCCCTCCAAATCCTTCCCAACCACTACCAGGCAAACTATACATACTGACAAAATGTGGTCCCTCAAATACACTTAGACTTTAGACTTTGTTCCCACACAAGGCACATCAAAACACTACACTCCCAAAAACAATCAGGGTGGAACAGTTCAGCCGAGCCCGAGTCCGAAAAACATGTGTAATCAAATCGCTGCCCATGGACATGTCTTTTTTAACAGTGCCAGTGCCACTGGATGCGTTTGCAAAACTCTTGCTTCAAACCACTTCTCATCTTAGTCATGCTGGTCCCATGCATCCGGTTTCTTCCAATGAAAACCCAAGAGGCCAAGGCGACGAGCTCCATGGGCGCCTTCGTACGCCAGCGCTGAGCCAGGAACACCTCCGCGCATTCCGCACCCATGCGGATAGGGTATGATGCGGGATGGGACGAAACCAATGAGAGACGCCGTTCACATGGAACTTGAAAACGACTGGCGGGGTTGTAAAGAAAATAGTTGTCCAAAGGTCCATTTCAAATATTTCAGGTTCCATCCTATGTAATTTTCCAGGGCCTTACTGTATTTGCAGTGTGGCAAGCGATGAGATAAATGGGAAATTTTTATAACAAACTGGAAACCATTCAAACAGCGATTCAAGGGTTGGGGGTCGAAGGACCCCGCTTCTACATGACAAGTTCAGCCGTCAAGGAAACCCAAGGTGGTTGAATCAATTCTGGCAGCCCCAAACAAGTACCATTGCGAGGCAAACACAGCAAACCAACTTAGACCGACTTTTTTGTTCAGGCAAGAAATGCCTTAAAGGGTAGTTGATAAGTAGTGTAAAAATATATTTTTTTTTTGGTGTCATGAATTCGTACTGTATACAAAAGAAATTATCAAATTTTAGTTTAATGCCTTTGGGGATCTTGAACCAACAAAAAGGTCGAATAACTGAATAGTTTCACTCTACCATCCCTATATGCCAACCAAAGTTCCCATTGTAAGTGTAACTCTCTCGTGCGATGATGGCGTTAGGGCTGGAACGTGCTGCAACTTGCACAGCTTGCCAAACAAGTTATCTTCCCAACCTATTTTCCCTATGGCCCTATGGGCGTCTCCGCAATGAGGGTGGGCAGCAGTACGTGTTGTTGAACCTGGTGGTATGTTTCGGAGATGTTTCGGAGTCCAGAGGTATGTTTCGGTGTATGTTGCAAGGTAAGTTCAAAAGGTATGCTTCGAAACTGCTTTCCCACCAAACGCCACCCCAGCACAAGAACAGGACGACCTGCTTTCCACACTCTCACTTGCTGTCGTGCTGTCGCTGGAGGAAGTGCTTGAACCGGACTCTAATATTTGCAAGTCCGGAGCCAAAGCAGCTTTTGCACGTCTCTGCTTTGCGCCTCTCTTGGCTGCTTCGCAAAAGCTCGGAGAGGTACGGATCTCGTCGGCTCACCCCCTTCAAGAGGGTTCACTGACTTGTGGCGTTCCACGCAGCCTATTGGAGAAAACCATGACCACCATCAATGCGTTCTATCATGATGCAGCAAGAACTCTTGATTTTGATTTTGTTTGCTGACACATCCAACTTCTTTGTCGTCCGGGGCTTAGGTGGCACAAACGTTTTGACAAAGTAACTCGGACCAACTGGAGGAGGATCTATGCACAGCCTACTGCATCCCATGCAGAATACTGCCAGCCCGCGCGTCTTCTGGACAGGAAATCGTACGCTCCCTCATGCAATCCACGACCCATCTTTGCTGCAGTCCGCGAGCTCCGTCACAGCACCCCTTGCCGTGGTGCTCAGCAAAGGTTCACTGATGCTTGTTGGAAGGGAACATTGGCCCCAGATCCATCTTTGCAAAGTTCCGCTCAGTTCCACAAGAATTCCTGAGCGTTACCGCATGGGCACACAACTAAGAAACCACATGGGGAATGGGGACTATTGCTGGGAAACGCAACGCGAAAGCTCCCTTGGGCCAAGCAATGGCCGATGTCATCTCCAAGGTGTAAGCAAACATGTGGACCACAATCTGCCCACAACACTGGCTCAGCGCGTTACAGAAAGATTTTCAAGCAAACCACTGAGGCATTGAAATCCCTGATCCATCTGCAAAGTAGTGGCAATAGAACCCCACCGTAACTAGTCATCTGTTCAGTGGCACAAAACCAATCTTGGGCTTCGTCCGGGCAAACGCGTGTTTTGCAAAATGTCGACAATGCTCTGCGGCAGATCTGCCCCAAGACCTTCGCATTGTCTATGCGAAGCCGGATTGTTGCAAAGTGATCTGCGCTGCTCTGCAACAAAGACCTTTGCTCCCGCTCCCTCAACTAAAAAAGACTTGCAGCTGCATCAGCTTCTTTCGTATCTTCCCTTAGCTCCACTGTGCCACTGCGTGTCTTCTGTCAAGCTCGGGCACGCGAAGTGCTGTCCATGTAGCCCTTCACTTTGGAAACAATATAGCATCATATAGCAATAAAAGCTCGCCATCTAGATCTGTCATACCTACCATTACCTAACAACCTCTTCCAATTAGTTTGCCTGCAGGCCACGCAGCCTACCCATGGCGATGTCCAATTGGCGCCGCGATGTGGGAAGAATAGTGTTGTCATACTTGTGACAGTAGGTGCGCACATCCGATCGGCATTTCAGTTTCCGAAGCTGATCTGCTAGCGGTACTTTTACAAATTCCCGCGCCTCCCTTGCAACCGTAGAGTTCCACGGCTTGTTGCAACTGCGCTTCAGGTTGCAAGCATTCAGTGACACAGTCGGCATCCTCTACTTCATCAACCTTCTTGGCCGCTTCAACGGCTTCTGCCCCGCCGGCCTTGCTTTCTGAAGCAATGTAGCCTTTCTGCAAATCAGCAGGCAATCAACGACATGGTTTTCTGTTCGCATTTCCGAGAGTAAACCTGAAGCCTGCAAAAGCAAAGCTGACACAAAGCTCCATGATGTTCGGATTCAAGGACGGCAGCTCACAAACACAACACTTCCCCCATGTCCCCCATTCAACCCCATGCCAGTCACCAAGCTTGGGAGGAGCCGGCCCGATTGTCTGCTGCCGCTTCTTCGGGCTGCCTCAGATCTGGTAGTTGAAGTTCTGAACATAAACATGTTGCTTTTGGAGAGCCTGACAGGATCAAACTAAATGAAGCAATCATTTAAGAGGCTACTTCTTGGCATAGAAAAGCCCCTCAAAGAACCTGTTGGTACACCAGGATTTTTTCTTCTGTGAAGGAGCTGTCTGCATGTGCGGTCTCGGTGCTTTGCTCGGAGCTGTCGGCCTGTAAGCTGCCCGCACCTTGGTTTTTTGGATTGACTGCCTTGGGGCCATCGCGTTGCTGGTTTCTTTGTTGTGCCTTGAGCTGTCTGCCTGGACACTGTAGATGCTTTGCTCATCTGCACTGTCTTGCCCTTCAGCTTTTTGCACCTTCCACCAGCTTTTCGCACAACTCTTCAGTCGGTGAATCTCCTTCTGGTCTTGCCGTCAGCTGGCTGTGAGCCATGGCTCTTCCCACGCAAGGAGATCTTGTTGATTCATATTTGCATCAGTATCAGTAGGTGTGAAAGACTTGTAGTTAGATTATTTCTCTAGAATGCCGCATGGTAAGCCAGTGGATCAACAAGCAGCCTTTTTCCTCACAACCTTTGTAGCAATTAAGGGCAGCGACTCTTCTCCCAGCATCCTCATTTCCAACCTTCTGTCAAACCAAGATTGATCGGTAAAAAGCCCGTGGCCATTAACTAGATTCAACTATCTAGCATTATCTAGCTACAGTATATAGAGTGCTCGAGGGCCAAATGTTGCGGAATTGCATAGCTTGTGCCAATGTCAAATCGGCATTTTAGATCTTCTGCGTGTATTCTATCTGCGCATGATTTCCAATATCTGACCCATCCTTTTGACGTGCACGTCTTGGAGTTCCCAATTTCATGAATAAATAGCATTCTATGTGCAAGGCCACTATTCTACGGGCATTTGCAGGAGCATGGTGGAAATTCGCTGGCTCGAAGTTTACGGATCTCTTGGGCACCCCACAGGTGCTTCAGCTTACAGTACTAGGGATGCCTTTGGGAGCCCCAGTCTTGACAAACACCTGAAGTACATTGTTTTTGCAATATGTCTTCCCTAGGCTTCAAAGACTGAAAGACCACAAAAAAAGGGTTGACCTTGTTTCGTAGTGTAAAACCCTTAGTAAAACAATGGTTGTTCGGATCTGTTCGGTATTCAGGATGTCTATTTCCCAGGGACGCCGATACGTATGACACGCGTTCCTCAAGTACATATTACAACTTGATACCGTTGATACTGTCAAGCATGCACTGTTTCCCGCGTTTTCACGTGTTGCACCTTCTTAGGAAGATCCAAAGGATACAAAAGGGACCGATGACCATTCTCTCCACCAGTCCACAGAGCTGCTCTGAGATCCCCCGACCTCGGTCTCATCCTCCGAGCTGCTGGAGCTGCTCTCCACGGCCTGATGGTAGCGGGGCAATTTGGGGGTCTCGAAAGCATGTGCCAATGATGTGTCAATAACATGAAGGTTATGAACTTAGAACTAAACTAAACTCTGAGTTTCTTGTCAATAACAGAGTGGTGAACTCATGTTTAGTTTCGATTAGTTTAGTCAACTCATGTTGTGAATTCATCAATAAACCAAACTCTGTTCTTGGTCAATTCTTCCTTCTGCCCAGGGCCCATGGGTGAGCTCACCTCCTGTGCCGTTGTCTCACCTCCTCCCAACCTCCTCATCCTGCAGCACCATGACGCACGTCCCAAACTGCAAAATACATCATGAAAGCATTCATGGAAATGGTTCACCAAGTCCCATCAAGCCACGGATGTTCATCGACTTGGTCTGTTAATGGTATGTCTCCTGTCACTGAGGGCTTTAAGCGCGCTGCGCACCCCAAACCCTCCCCACATTCAATGAATGTCTGTTGAAGATGGGTGTTGCAAATCTAACTCTCCCCATCTCCTCCTTCTCGTCCCGAGAAACCAAGACATTAAGAGAAAGAAAAAAACGCCCTCACCTCTCACCCTTGCGGCCCGTCTCACCCTCCGGATGCTCGGGACCGGGACTGGGGCTCCAGACGGGACTGGGGCTGGGCGGAGAGCCGGTAAACATGGAGCGGTCCAAGGACTTCTCCAAGAGCTTCACCGCGCGTGATTTGACCTGCACTGCGATGCCCTGGAGTAGAAGAGAAGGTGCTTTCTGGTCGCCGTTAAGTGGTGCTTAGCTTGTGGTAGCTAGCTGTTGTGATCCAGTGAAGAAAAACATCGTTTGGTTTTGTAACGAGTTTGGTGAGGTGGGATTGGATGGTGGCATACTGAGGAACTGGAAGGAGAGGTTCCGTCAACAGAAATTGATGATGAATAACTGTAACTCTGACTTTTTGCTATGGGTGTCGGTGTTGAAGATACATCACATGATGACCGCTGCCAATTGTTGGTGGGGCATCTCACCCCTTGTTTCTGGTGCTCCGCGCCAGCTCATGGGAGTAGGATCATCGGCTAGGCCACAGTCACCCTCACTCCAAGTAGATGGCACGGCCGGAAAACAGCATCGACAAAGTTCATGGTGCCACTTCATGGGTTTGCCACCTCCATGAGTTCTTGCTATTGTTGGAAGTGCTTCCATGTTTTCAATGGAAACCAATGAACACCGGCTCGACATGTTCAATTTCTATTCCCAACTGCTCCGACATGTCCGCTCCCGTTCAAACTCCAAGGCACTCCACCCGTGACGGAGGCGCGCCGCGCAAAGGAGACCCGTCGCTCGTTGCTCCAGCTGGGCCGTGGCGACACCGGCTGTGGCGTGGATGGCGGCTCGTTGACCTGGAGAGCGGGTCGCCGAACGAACGGGTCGCGGGGAGTATCGGGTGTTTTTGGTCTGAAATGTGCTGGGATGGACAGCGAACTGGAAAGGGGACATGTGTTTTTTTCTTTTGAAATGGGGATGGATATGTCCAGTTCGAAAAAACAGAACGTCTTGCTGGAGCTGTGACAAGGCTGAATCGAAAGGCGAAGCAAGCTTGAGGCACCCCTTTTCATCTCTTTGCTAGGCTACAAATGTCAAACTTGTAAATAGTAAGTGGCATCCACTGAAGTGCAAGGTCCATTGTACACACAATATTAAGATAATTAAGAATGATCTGGGTGAAAGCCGCCTCTGGAGCCCAACATGTGATGGCTGAACACACGGAGATGCTTCAGGACTGGCGCCAGGGATCTGGGTCCGAGCAAGTGGAGCAACGCCCTTCAGCGCTCTTCAGGGCCCTTCAGGACCCCAAAAAAACCATCAGAACCAGGTGGTGGCAATGCATCCTCACCTGTACAAGGGCCCTCAGAAGAGCCAACACTTGCATAGCGACCATTTCAACAGCTTCAGCACGCACCAACCCACCCCCAAAAAAGAAGACATCACCTGTTCCCCAGTTCCCCACCCCAAGAAAAATAGAACCTCTCGGAACCAATGTCTTGAAATCGGCGACGAATTGCTTTCTTATCTGTCGGCCGATGGCATATGCATGGGCATGGATTGGCTGGGCTTTCTGGAGCCTGGGAGATCCCGGCAGCTGGGCAGCCCGGCGTTGGACACATCCTCCTCCAAATCCAAGGTCCAATCATCCAAAAAGTCCACCTGGCGGTGGCAGCGGCATTGTTCAAAGAAAAAAACGATGAAACACATGGCCCAATGGCAAAGCATGCGCCAGTTTAGATGGGGTGCCCAGCTCCCCAATGCTTCACCAATCTCAAGAAGTGACACAGCCTGCACATTTGAGGATCATGAATCATTGACAACAACTAACTGACACATACAATCATGCATACCCAGTAATTACATGTAATTACATAATATATTATATAATACATGCATACATGTTGTTCGTTTCTGAAGTTGATGGTCTGACACTGGCCACGAAAACGGCCCTCTTGGCACAACAAAACAGGTCATTTGTGCTTGAGTGGTACCCGGTACTCCCTACCCCTACCACATCCAACAATCCACCAACTTCCGCGGCAAGAAGGCAGCGGCATACTGACCTCAACGAAAACCCTCTCTGAAAGTCACGATCCGACTCGGAATCCAACTCGGGAACCGCATACTGAGCATAGGGGCATGGGGACCTGCCATTCGTGCGGACCTGGTCTGTTGGGTGGGGCCAACATAGCAGGTTGTTGAGTCCCATCAACTGCTTGAGCGCGGTCCAGCTGCTCAGGCAGCTGTGTTTTGCTTCAGCTCTTACTATGCAGATCAATGGCCCGTTGCAGCGGCCATAAGAAAGCTCGCACCATGGCCAAACGGGCCAGCTGAGCGGGATCCTTTCCTCACAAGGAGAAAGAATGGGAATCAAAAAACAATTACATCGCTTTGCAGTCCAAATCCTCTTGTGGGAAAATGGTTGTTGAATAATTAAGCTCCATGTCTAAAGCAGTGTCTGTAAACCAAAAGTGGCTGGAGTCACAAGGTTTACTGTTTACACTTTCCAACAAAGCATGGCCTCTGAGCTCTTGGAGGGTCGGACCCAAAAAGGACCCTGTATACTACACCCATACCCATAGCTCATCGAGAGACGTCCACATCTAGGAGGCTGCATTCACACGTTCTTCCGCCCGGTCCGCCAGTCCTTCCAAGCTGGGGACTAAGTCCTTCAGCGCACCCAGCAACCGGGCAGCCTCCTCGCAAAGCTTGGATCGCAAGTCCGACTCGCTGCACCTGCTGGACCAAAAATGCTGCAGCAGTGTGACCGCCTGAGACCCGCGGTGACGAGGGAGAAACACCACGAGCTCGGAGAGAAAAAAACCGCGGCATGATCCGTCCATGCAGGCAGGCTTTGTTGTGAGTGATGGATCAAAACTCGATGATGCCCTTTAATTGCAATAAATAAGTAAGCATTAATTGTATGATCAATGATCATTGATTTTATGTGAGAGGATTGTCGAAAACTAGGTCAAGCATGTAGAGCCAAAGCCAATTGGTTTGCCCTGCCTGTTGGACCGGCTCAGGTGCTGTGACCTCTGCATGATCCATCTTCGCAGCAAGCCGTTCAGCTTTCAAAAGCTCCTCCGTGGCAGATTTGAGCACCCAGCGTGTTCCGGGTTCCGAAATCTGGCAGCCACTTCCCGTAGTCCTCCAGGCCTTTAAGGCTTTGTGAGGTGTCAGCACAGGGGTGTCAGCAGGCCGCTTTTGTGGAAAACTGTTCAGCACAGGCATGCGACCTGCCTCTGGCTTCAGTTGCAGTCTGGCAGTTTTGGGAACCTTCACTGGCTCCGAAGCTGCTAGGTCCTCTCGAAAAGTCTCCGCTGCATTCTTGAGCTGTGTACGCCGCTGCTGAAGACTCTCCAAAACTCTCCCCGCCACACCAGCGTCCTCGACTGCGTCCGATGAGGTCTTTTCCGCCTGCTTCGCAGCCGCCAGAATACCGGCGCTGCGGTCGTTCAAGCGGCGGATGAGGTTGTCATTGGCCTTCTTGGCCTCCATGGCCTTGTCGCGCTGAAATTCTCCAGTGAGATCTGCCTCAGGGTGAGAGGCCAAGGCCTCCAGGGCTGGCTGAGTCGGTGCTTCAGGTGGAGGCAGGGAGTCAAAAAGCCGGTCTTCGGGATGGGACAAAGGCACCTCATTGCCTGCAGCATTCAGGAAGTAGCGGCTCTTCAAGCACCGTTCCCAGAATTGGGCCTCGGTCATCATGGATGGCACAGTGGCACTGAAGAGCGAACTTAATGCAGGAAGTTCTTTGAAGATTGCGGCCTGGTCCTGCTCGCTGATTGATCTGGCGGCTCCAAACTCTTGACTGCGATGGGCGGCGGCAACCACTCGCAACGGGGCCAAGTCCATGGAAGGCGCTTCTGGAAGAGGGGTGCTTTGGGCGATTTCTTTGGCATGTGCTTCCAAGAACTGTTCCATGCTCATGACCTGGGTGTTTTTCACCAGGTATTGGTACTGTTGACTGAGCTCCTGAGAGCCCAAGACCGATTTCATCTGCATCCCCAGCTCTGCCGCTTCCTTTTGCTCCTGCAGACCCAACAGCTGTGCCTGCTCTTCCCGCGCCTTCATCTTCTCGGAGAACTCCCTCAAGTGGAGCCACTTCTGATCCGTAAACTCGATGACCAGCCGAGTCCCCAGGATCTCAGGGAGGTTCGAGAGACGTGCCAGCGCATTGTCAAAATTGGGGCGCTTCCTTGTGATGTGTCCAACGACGTTGAACGGCTCATGGCGTGGTTTGCAGTGAGAATGTCAGGAGCTGGTTAGCATCACTGGATCTGTTTCAGAGTGCAAACAAGACTCCGGAAATAATGACACGTTTTGTGGCCGAAGCTTTGCAACATCGGTTTGTAAACGGTACTTGACTCGGTTTCCACAAGATTTTGGGATGAACAAGGGAAATCTGAACATGCTTGACAGGACCTTTGCTAGGAGTCTTTCCAAGAAAAAAACAAACTAAATGGTTCAGAACCTGAACCTGAACAAGTACCCCTCCAAGAGATGACACAACTCCAAAATCTAGAAAATACATCATCCATACCTCATCCACATAGCCTTGGGCCTTGGGAATTGCACCATCAACTTCCAACCAAAACAACTTGCCAGGCAAAAACCCATCTGTCTTGGTGATCTCCACCGTGATGGGCCCCGTGAGAGGAATCTCCAACAAGATCTCCTGGCCGATCTGCATAGGGCCTTTCAACGTCTTTCAAACTGAGAAAAATGCTCATCAAAACATTTCACTAGCTAGTTCACCACCACACAAGTACTTCTTCAAAAAACTGTAGAAACTGCAAGGGCCACTCCCACTTGAGGAACCTCACGAACCAGCTCCGACAGCTTCCAACCTACACATGTTTAAAGAAAAACATATATTGGGCTTGCTGAATTGACGGACCCCACAAACTACTCCCTAATCTCAACTATCCCTCATAGGTTCTCTTGAAGGGGCTTCACAGAACAAACACATGTAACAAACACAAAACACCATTCAAGCAGCAACAAACACGCACAGAAACAAAAAACCATTCAAGCAGCTTCACAGGTCCTAAAATCATCTAAAATCGCTGTTTTTTCTACCACCCTTCGAAACCGTCACCGTCTCGGTCTCCTCCCCTGTCTCTGGCAAATGGATCAAGCGTCGTGGTGTGAGCACCAGCCGCCCCAGCAGCTTTCGACATCGCACGGGCCAAGGTCCGCCCAGCAAAGGCTCCCCGTCAAAGGTCTCCATGGCCGGAGAAGGCACGCGGAGGAAGGTGAAAAGTGTTCAAACGATATACGTTTACTCATTTTGAGGGGGCTGAAGGCTGAATATGGTTGAATTCATCACTTTGCTCACTGAATCAGTGTTCTTTTTTCATGGACATCTTATGTTCACATGTTGTCTTCCGACACATCTTGGCCTCAAAGGTGATTTGTTACGGCCTTTCTCGTTGCTTCATGTGCACTCAGAAAGAGGATTTGCTTCATGTGCGACCGATTCACTTCAGGTGGCACATGGCTGCACCTGGGTCCAATCTTCGTTTGACCCCACTGTTTATCCTCGAAGCTGATAGGCTAACCAGCCAATACGCGAATCAAATGAATACAACTCATGAACCCTTCAAGGGCACAGCTGTGGCAAAGTTGAGCTCGCTGGTGGGACAGGTCGAGCAAGCCAAGATCGGGTTTGACCCTGCATCCATAAGTCCCAATGGCGCCCCACCAACTTACGCACACCAAAGTTAACTCAAATGCGCATGCGGGGTCGGCACTTGACCCAGAAAATAAAGTTCTGAAGGGGTGATGATGTCCAAAAACTCACTGGCACGCGCAAGAGTTATATAACTCACTTGCGCGCACAGCAACTCACTTGTGCACACAGCGACTCAATTGCACACACTGCGACTAACTTGCTCACACAGGCACTTGGGGGGCCATTTGGAGGAGGGGGCCTCAGGTTGAGTGGCTCGTTGCGATTCAGAGTGGCTCTTTCCTCCTCCAACCTTTAACATGATTGGCAAGCTTTTCTGATCTTTTCTGTCATCAATGTCATATCTGGCAATCCCCAAACATGACGCAGTATGATTTATATAGTCTTTAGAGTTTTAGTGCTGGATTGAGAGATCCCTGCAGCAAAAAGAATCCACGACAGCTCGTCTGGTGCCTCCTTCACTGAAAGCGAGCCTTCTCCTCCCACATCTAGTGCCTGGAAGAGCTCCCTGCGGGCTGAGGTCTGCTGAGGTCTGGGATGGAACCTCTCCGGGTGAATCGTGTTTTTGTTTTTCCTCCACATTCTGCCAAAATGAAGAAGAAACTTGACCACCACCACAAGTAAGAACCCACCACAATGACATGACGTCTCACAATCTCTGCTTGGTGAACTTTGACCAACAGCGAGCTGCGCAGCGCCGCCTCGAAGGGCCATCATAGCCTTTGAGCTACGGAAAGGCCGGTATGACGACGGAGCCGTCGTTTGGGTACAGCAAGCCGTCACGTCGACTGAGTGTGAAAGCTTGAAACCTGCGCCAAATGATGTCCCTGCTTAAAGAATTTGCCAGGATTTGGTGCGGCCCTTGGGGAAATCAAGGGCTAGACCATTGAGTCCTACTCTGTGGTAGTGGGCTGTCTGGAAAAGCCAAAGAACAGCAATTGTCAGCAATAGTGGGGAGGGCACGAAAGGATAAGAACGAACTCTGAAATTCGATTCTCTGGGCACTTCCTTGGAGTCAAAGTGGAATGTTCTGATCCAGGACTGGCACCAAGTTTCAACTGGAGAACTTTTGCGTTCTGAAACAAAGAAGCTCTTGCATCTTGGCTCCGGCTTCTCCGGAAAGGACCCCGCGGAACGAACCTTGTTGGTCGGATCGGTGCAGCTGCGCGGCCATAGACCTTCAAGGCGCCCCGCCACTCCAAAAAGCCTCCGCTGTCGAGGCATTTGAAAACGTCAAGTCTGCCATGCAGGGATCGATAGGAGTATCAACTAGACAGCAGTTGATACGATTGCTATACAAAACCCGTACCCCATGTATTCTACAATGCTTAGACGTTATTTGTACGTAGTGTATGATATGAATATATATATATATATGTTTTAACATGTGTACAGTACAATATATACACATATAATATATGTGGTAGTGATATGAATTGAATTACATTCATAGAGGTACACATCCCCCGAACTCTCCTGCAATCAATGGCATCTCCAGGAATTCACGTGTCGAAGTCGAGCCCCGATCCGATGTGTGCTGGTCTTGCTAGGTTGCCCAAACCTTGCCGTACCTTCACCATGGTAATACGCGGTTCAGGAGAGCACTGATACGAGGTGAAACAGCGGTGGATCGGACCAAAAGGATCAAACGATCCAAAGGGCTCAAGCTGTTGGACTTGTCCTTGTCGAAGGTGGTAAAGAGCTGCCGGACTGATCCGAACCTGAGAGATTCGCTGCCACTCAGTCTTTGTTCTTTGCACCCGACCCCTCTTTCATCCTCTGTCTTTGCTCCTCTTTGTTTCCAGGAGATTGTGTGAACTTGGCAAAAGAGAGCCGTGCGAAAGAAACACAAGTGGGTCGTGTCCAGGGTGGACACAAAAGCATCGATGTTCAGCACTCTCAAGCCAAAGAGCTCTGACTGATCGCAGGTCTTCCGATCCATGCACACGTCAGGGGTTTTTAACTTCCGCCCAGGTGCTCTGCAATAGCCCAGCGCCTGAATCCCAAGAGGACCTTGCTAGCATTCTCGTCCAGCTCCTTCAGACTGATGTAGCCTTCCACCAGCAGCACGGCAGAAATAACTCTGAACTGTTTGGCTCCCTGGTAGAAAAATTATTATTACTATAGATGATGTTTTTTTTGGCATGGTTTTGCAACAGGGTTCTATCAGTATATCAATCTTGAAGACTCCCTTCAATAACACGACTGGCAGCATCATACGATTAAACTTTCAAAGTTAAAGAAATGCACAATGGCAAAAATAGAGTAGGAGGATATGATTGACCCGGTTTTGGTTAGTATGCTAGGACTAGTTTGCTTGCCCGAATCAACTTTTCCTCTACCACCACGGTGGGGCTTTCCACTTTCATGCCAGAACATTTGGGGCCTGCAGTGTGTGAAACTTGTCTTTAAAGCCCATCCTATGTATGGCATCCCTTTACCTGGACTCGGCAGTTTGCACCCTCGAAGATGGGTGTTCTACCTTATCAAAACTGCAGTTGACTGTATGTTGTACCTATTGGGTACCCATTGTAAAAAATGAGAGGCTCCGACTTTTGTCGAACTGCAGCGTGCTATTTTTTCACAGTTGCCGGAGCTGCAAAGCTGCCTGAGAGGTCCTCATCGAAGGCGCGCCAGGCGCCGCCAATGTTCCCCCGGAAGCCCAGGATGCGGCAAGCTTCCTGCGAAAGGTGGACGGAATGGAACCACGATGAACCAGTTTCATTGCATCAGGGTGCAATGGAACTTGCAAAAGAAACCGGTACACCGGTGAAAGAAGGGAAAACTAGTTTCGGCATATTTAAACATGGAACTCGTTTCACCGCAACTCCTGGGGAATTGGCATTGCAACTTTTTTCGGTGGACAGGCAGGTTTGAGGCACCCTGCAAAGTTAACATAGAACATGTTTTACGCCCATGCTACTCCCTCAGATGGCCTTGGGACCATCCTTGTTTGAGGCTCGCAAATCTAACATGAAACGGGGGGGGGCACCCAGAATTCTAGGGTCAAATGGTCCACGTTCAATTTGGCCCTGACTGATACCAGGGCCACACCAGGTTATCAACCGGAGGTTTACTACTTTGCGCAAATTTAACATGGAACGTGCACAAATGCACTTATGACTTATGCACCCTGGCACTAACATGGAACTGAATCGGAAAATCTCATTTGTTCATCGAGATGTGTTTTTTCCCCGGAGTAATTAGTAATTACTATATCTTATTGTTTTCTGTGTGGTTCATCCATTGTTATGGGTCATGGGAGCATGGAACAGAATCAACTCCAATCCCCCCATGAGTTGTGTACTATCATGTGCTGTCCATACAATCACGCCAGATCGAGGCAGTCTTGCCCGGCTGAGCATCATGAACACAAGAACGGAACGGGCTGACTCCACTCAAAAAGGCAAACAGGCAAAGGCCATCCCCAAAAAGAAGGCTGCTCTTCCTTGGTCTCAAGTTTACTGGAAATCTGCTAACATGGTCTTGATTGTTGTCTGATTATACACTTTGCGGACCTTTGCAGTGACCTGTCTATGCCCCATCACTCTCCATCCAATTGCCTGGAACTCGTACCAGTTGCAGCGGTTGGTGTTGTCTTTGTCCAGCACCCGCTTCCAGCCCTTCAAGTAGCGAGTCATCTTTGCCTCGGTCCGATCTCAAATTCAGGATAAAGTATGGTCATCCGCGCAAACATGCGCAAACAAACCCGTACGTCAAACATGGCTCAAACAATATAAAACGTACAACAACGGCATGTCTTGGAAGCCATTGCAGGACAACCTTCCGTTGATGCAACGGGCTCTTTTTTTGTGCCATGTGACCAACAGCAGTTCTTTGAATTCCTCCTTGGCCTTATGGTCAGGCGTGACCAGCAGGAATTCCAAAGGCTGCCATTTCCTCAGTCAGTGCCGCGGATTCTCTGGGAAATTCATTTGTCTGCCTCTGTGGAGATTGCGAGGATGCTTGGCACAGGTGTGGCGGAAGGTGGACTACGGCTGCGGTACTGGAGAGTCTGTTTGGTCAATCTGGCCGAATGATCTTGGGAACACGGCAAACTGTTCAACAAGTGCACCCAGTGACTCCAGGAAGATCAAGTCGTCCATCTCAAGCTTGCCGTTCGCATCCTGTCGGACGCGGCAGGTGGCCGGTGAGACGAAAAGAATCGAAAAGAGTTGGTCTATGAATCGCAATACAAGACTAGCCCAAACCCCAAGCAGGAAGGGTTGTGGCCCACAAAATATTTGTTGACATACTGCGTGAGCTCCTAACATAATGCATGAGCTCCGGTCCGTCCAAAGCGTTGCCTGAATGAAAGGCCATATCAACATGCTGAATTACGCGGGATCTTACGTAATCTCTTGCCTGGCTTGTGAGCTCTGGCTTATGCGGCATCATGGCTGCATGTAGGAAGCTTATTACTCCAGGCTTACACGCGAAGAGCTCCACCACGAACACACAGTGGCAGCTTACACATGGAAAGCAGTTGTCCAAGCGTTACAACAGTCGGGCGGATGAAGTTGAAGATGAGGACAGTGTTGACGAAGAACTGCTATGACAAGCTGTGCAGGGCTGGACCTTGGCGGTCTTCGTGTTCAGTGGAAGAAACGAGTCGCCAGGCAGTCATTTGTAGACCTTCTCCAAAGCTGAGACATGCGGCAGGGATGGGGAGACCGTGTGTTTAAGGGATTTCAAGGAACGCTCCTGTTTGACTTGTGGTTCCAGGAAAGGCTTGGTGGGAGGGCCACACAGACTTGAAAACGATGCGCGCCAAACTATAGTAGGTGTTCACTAACATAAGTCTAACCTTCATGTTTAAGACCTAAAAGACTAGTTATGTTTGACAATAGCTCTGGAAACAAGGGACATGTCAATCTCATCAGCGATCTTCTTAGATCTTCTTAGGAGAGCCCAATGAGCTTACGAATGTACTGTATGTGTCCTTCAAGTTTGCTTGCGCTACCGCAACTTTCAGAATGAAACAGCAATTGCACAGTTTTGGACGACCTTGCTCACCTGGCTGGGTATATTCAAATCTGACCATCAGCGGCACGGACGCTCTGCATTCTGCTTGAACTACCCAAGGCACGCCCGCCACCCTTGTGGCTTCAAAGGAACCCGGCAACTCGCTGAAGACATATCCCAAACACGAGACCGGCACATTTACATCGGCATTGGGGTTGACCTGCGAGTCAATCATTTTCATATAATATATAAAATTCTATAAATTATTCATTATATTCCATACATGCAGCGAGTTGTACTGCTATATCTGGGCTTTTTTTTCCTGGCGGGGCTTCGATTTGATTCCAGCGGGTAGACCGCACGAAGCGGAAGCTGTGAGCAACAGAAATTGCCACACCAGGCTGGAGCATCAACAAATTAGTTCACAGGAAGAGGTTAACAGGCATATGTTGTGAAAGTGTTCACAGGCCTCAAACCATGGAGATCCACTACCTGGAGCCCAGGGAAGCTGCCAAATACTATTGGTCCTCTCAATAGTAGAAGTTTGACATCTTTTAACCTACACTCTGACTCACCAACGCGCAAGCAAATGGCATGGCCCCTGTGAAGACCCTTTTCCTCTACAAACATCTACAAGCTGTGTTGTCTTCTTTCTCTATGTCCATCCCATGTGATGATGTCCCTTGCCCCCAAAAAAGTGGTGGCCAAGCCCGGAGTCCTTGTCCAGCATTTGGAACCTGGGAGCACCGGACACCGTCCGACCAGACCGAGTCGTCCAGGTCATTATGGCGTTCCGGTGTCCGGGTCGAACGGCGAACGGTGTTCGGGACGATGCCCAAGGGGTAAGACGATGGTTGCTGACCGTTCTCCTCATGCAGAATTTTAAGGCTGCTGGTGCCTAAAAACACCGGTTGTGCATCCTAAAATCACCATCTAGAGATATCTAGAGTCTAGATATGTCTAGATCTTAGACCTAGGCTTCAAGGCTTCTCTCGAAGGTGGTCCGATAGCGATCACGCACCAAGATCGGCCAAAAAGCAAGTGTTTTGTCGGCCGTGGAAAGTTGTAGGTCCTCAAGGCCTTCTCAAACTCCTGAACGAAGAGCAGCAAAGTTGGGATATACAGAAAATGTGATGAAATGTGTTTGCAACACGTCGATCTTCTGCAAAACTGCTCACAAGAGAACATGGAACTCAAACCTTTTGTGCCACTGACGTTGTGGTTGGAGAATGAACCGGAACGACTCCAGTATTAATAAAGAATTGTAATGGACTTGAACCCGGCAGTTTAACCTCGTTGTGTGATTCTGAAACACGTTCCACATATATATATATATATTTAATAAACAAATAAATAAATAAATATATATATTATCTTTATAACATTATAACATTAAGCAACATATTGCGAGTGTCGGACGAAATGCAGTAATTAATTTGTGGATAATCCATGACAATTGCACACATTGCGCTCAACCACATAACAACTCTCCTCCAGCTTCACTCAAACTCCATCAAGCACAACATTGCAAAATCAGCCTCAAATCTCACTGCTAATTTATATTCCTCCGGTCACACTAGGTCAAGCTTAGCACATTCAGCTCCAATGCCTTCACCGTGATGGTCTTGGTATTGTCTTCCTGGGTCGTCCAATACACATCCGTCCGTACAAACCAAGAAACTGGCAGGCTGCGAGCTATATATATATATTATGTATTAATACGCCCCCAAAGAGAGGATTTGCTGTCAGTTTGCACAGGCAGGCCGCGGCACAGGCCACAGCAAATCACCACTCCAACGACTGGCGTTTGTTTGTCCGGCTGCCCAAGCTGTGAACACCTGAAATGTGTCTTCCTTTTCCTTTGTTTCTACGAACGCGCTGGCCTCCAACCTACTAGCAGTGGCCTCAACACCAAAAAAAAATGCTTCATCGTTTCACCCTACCAAAAGGTGGGATGGGAAAGCAGTGTGCCGGAGCGAGTCTGTCGCGAGTCGAGTCTGTGTCGACGCGGTGTTCTCCGGTGCGGTGTCCGTCGACTCTCAGTGAGGCACGTCCATCTTCTTGAAGGCGTTGCGAATGCCCCCAAACTCCGCATCGACCCAAACCTGCCACCCCAAAACGAAAGGAGCTCCGAAAAGAAAGCAAGAACCACTGAGTTTCAGTCACCAAGCTGGTCAAATGATCTCCTAAACTTCCCTGTCCATGGGGAGATTCATCTCCATATTAGCCATCATTTGGGAGGAAGCGCAGATCAGTGTATCAGTTCTGTATCTACACCTGTCACCCCACATCCTGGCAGCAAACAGTCTCGATTCTCGCACCTTGAAATGTGCCAAGTTCTCCGCCCCCTCGGCGGAGCAAGTCGAAGCTCATGAATCTTGAAAGCAAAGGACCGCACAAGCCGCATGAGTCAGTCCTGAATCCTGAACTTAATCATCTAAAATCATATATGTCATAAATGACTGATGTCCAAGCTGCTCTAACTCAAGCCTCTGTCACCCATATCTTACCTATCTTCTAACAGGAGGTATATGGGGGTTGTTCAAAATTATGGTTCCCAAAAATTGTTCTTTCGCCGCGCTTTCGCGGATCTTTCGCATCCTTTCGCCCCCAATGTAAAATGTATTAGGATATATGATATTATTTTCGTTATTTCGTTTTCGGTGGAGGACCTGAGTAGAGCCACAAAAGTTCATCCATCGTATATGCAACAATAAATGTGCCGCTGCTACTTACTACTTTGGGGAGTGTGGATTGTGGATTCTGGATAACTTTGGTTTTTGGTTCCCGTTATTCCAAGGGCGCTCGGTAGATCTTTTCTCCTTCATGGGCGTTCAAACATCTTTCGTTGCAGCTTGCTTCGTTTCTTGCCATCGACTCCGTCTTCGAAGTAATTGTTTCGCATGATTTCTTGCAGTTTTTTCCCTGTCACTGATGAGGTTTGGCACTTGCATTGGGCAAGGTGGTGTTGCGGTTGGGGCGCTTGGCTTCGGGACAGTTGTTGTTCACCCATTCCTGGAAAAGATAAAGCAAGACGCGACATGGCGTGGACTCTGGACTAGCCCATTTGGGCTCCCGATGGTTTCGGGCAGGCTCGTCTTTCGCCAACCTTGCGCGTCGCTTTCGCGAAGCTTTCGCGTTTTTCCTCGTTCGGTTTGGGGAATTTTGCTACTTGAATCTTCTCTTGTGATCCGTCTGCAAGATTTCTTATTGCTGTCTGTTTCTTTTCGTACGCATCTATGACATGCTGGGGTGTTCGCTAAGCTGGTGATACATATCCTTCAAGATATTACATGCTTAGCCACTACTCTTGCAGCTTTCTGCCTATCACGCCTTGCATGGAAACCACTCTCCCTGTTTGTTTTAGACACAAAGAGATATGCACAACATGTGCATACATGTATGAATTATCTATGATATATTTCTATCAAGTTTAGCCTTTCGCCAAACCTTTCGCCGCGCTCTCGCATCCTTTCGACCCTGCAGGTAAACACAACTTCAAAAAGCTAGAATGTCACTCGTCCACTAAAAACATTACACGGGTTTTAGAACGACTCCCATATAGATCCCTTCCTCTGAGGTCCCTGCGACAGGATCAAGCTCATCTAGGGAGGCTGTACCACTTTCATCCTGGCCGTTGCTTTGGAGAGGATGTAGCTGGTCAAAGGCGCACCCAAACCCATTTGGTCCAACCGTGGCAGTGGCCAACTAGGGAAAAACTGTGTGAAGAGTCTGGACCCTCCCCTGAGCTACAGCAATCTCCCGTAGAACTACCAGCATGGACGACCATTGGACGACCGGCGTGACCTCTGCTGGCCTCATCCACCGACACGACGGAACTCTGCACCGCGACTGCCGCCAGTCGTCCGTCGTCCGTCGTCAGTCCTTATCCAAGGCTCGCCACAAATCTTTGGCCTCCCTTGACCAGCCGAGCCTCGAAACCACGAGGGACAGTCGGCACCCAAAAGCCAACAACTCAGTAGGAATTGAAGCAACAAACTGAGGGCTGCCGAATATCCGACAAACTTGTACATACTGTAAGTTGAAACTCCCGATCTATAAATGGACAGTGGTCTTTCAAGGTCCCAGCCCACTTCCATGATTGTGGTTAGGGGAGACAGCACCCGTGTACGTGGGCTCGTGCAGGCTTAATGTGAATGCAGGATTAAGAAGCCCACCCCTGTCACAATAATTTGGTTCAACGTGTTTCTGCAAATTCAATACGAACCGCCTTTGGACGAGTTGTTTTTTTGACCATATTCATCCATTTTCCGGATTGTTCCCCCAGGAAAAATGCCTCAATCAGTCGGTCCATCTGTCTCCTGTTTTCTTGTTGCTTTTGCTCAGTGTTCGCCATCACCCACATAGCCTTCGCCTCCCCCATGTGTGAAGAGATCGGTCTTGGGGAACCATCGAGATGTTTCAGTGGATTGCTTTGAGATTCTTCCAGGGATTGGAGTTGCAAAACCTTCTGGGCTTGACATCATACGTCTTAGACCGGAGTGGTGAGGGCGGAAGTGAGGGCCGTCACGGCAATATGTGTTCTCTTAAATGGCCACATCCTTGGGGCCTTCATCAGAAGGACCCTTCTCAGAACGCAGGCAACACTCAAGGATGGATAGTCCAGGGTAGGTCAAGGAAACGCACAGCAAAAATAGCAAAAGTGTACCAACATACAGACTGCGAACCGGGGCAAAAACACAAGCTAGTGTAGGCAAAGTCTGGTATCTCATCCAAGGTGTGCCAGCCAGTTTTGCTGCAACGGCCACCCGAATCAAGAGTTCTGGTGCGAATGCTTGGAGCCAAGCTCTTGTAGAGGGCGGCGACTGGCTTAACCTCCCTTGGATTCCGTCCCAGCCGTCCCCCCGGATGTCAGCCCAAGGAGCTTCGCAGCCGCCCGCAAGAACTTCACTTTGGCAATCCTCGTTTTGGGCCGCACGTGTCCCGCCACACGTGGCGCTTCCCGCGGGAGGGTCACAAGATCTGCAGGTGCCAAGTTTCTGGCTGGAAGTTCAAGGGCTGAGACAAGACCTTTCGAACAAACACGAGCTTTTGGCAAAAAACAGCCTCATACTGGGTCTTAATATAAATGCCAACAATCATGGAAGTGGAACAAGTCTATACCAGGACCATCCAATGGGTCACTCTTGGACTACTCTCCCTTACTTCAGGATCTCCATTGGACACCCATATATAGTTGCTTCAACCGGAAGCCCGTGGTTGTCGAATGCATCCCTAGTCGGCACCACCCGCTTGTAGCAAAGTCTTTCCCGACAAACGGCTTTTATGCAGCAGGTGTTTCGGAAGGCTTTGACCCACACATTGCACCAGATTATGTCTGGGCTTTTGGTGTTACATTGTTGTCACTGCATCAGTACTTGAAACTGAACCTGTCAACCAAAAAGCTTTGGATCCCACTTGGCCAGGTTTTCTTGACAGTTTCAACTTGCTGCTTTAGGCCTGAAACAGGCTGGTGGCCTAAAACTTGGCCAGGTGATCAACTCCGCTTTGACCGTGTGAAACGGCCACCAGCTGGGCTTGAAAAAGCGGGCGGGGCGGAGCAGGGGCGTCGAGTGGGCCATAACTCGCAGGGGCGTCGTGTGCCCTAACTTGCTCTAGATTCTAGATGCATCTAAATGTTGCTTGTAGAACTGTAGGGTATGCTGACGGAAGTTCTCTGCCATCTCTGTGAACACGGGTATATATTACATATATGGTCCGCCCCCCAAAAATGCAAACTCCCTTCAACAGTGAATCCAAAAGCATGTCCAAACATCAAAGGAACGTTGTCACAATTGGTCACTTGCTCACAACATTTTTGTCGTTCACTCTTTGAAGTCCTGAAGTCAGCGGTTCTCCAAACGCTTCTCCATACCAATCTATGGAAAACCACCTGTTTGTAGTGGAAAATGGTCTTCCAAGGGCTCATTCTCCACTTCCATGTTAGTTCCAGGAAGTGTAGCGGCTACGACTTCAAACAAACACCCAGCGGTGAGGGGATCCCCTCACGACCCCTCCGGCGCGAACGACCCGCCCCTCGTTTTGTGAACTCGCTTGCGAGTCGCACCCCGCCGAGCATCGACATGGCATCGTTGGCCGTGAGCTCCTGTCGCCATGCACGAATCAGGTTGCCATGCTTTTTTCGAAGAGTCCTGGGCGGAAATGAAACACGTGAAGCGGTGGGATCCAAGCTCCTGAGGTTTAAAATGTGAGCAGGGTGAGTAACTGGAGGGTCAAACTTGACCTTGCACACTAATAGTCACTATGCTATTTGGGGAATGAATGAAGCAAACGGATACTGTATTGTAGGATTTTAGTAAGCCATACTATGCTGTGGAGTCTAGTGTTGCAGCGCCAACGAAAAAACTGTACAGCTTCTTGTGGGACAACTGCGCCAGCATCTATCTATTGGCCATACACCCTCGTTGTTCTGTGATGTTTTGTGGGATATGAGATGGTATCAGAATCAGCCCAACTGGGGTAAACCATAAGCCATCACCACCCCTTGAACTGTGGAAGTTGCCACCGGAAATTACCTATGCTCGCTGTTGATTCAGAACCCCACCCACCCCCAAACCGAGATGTTCACGAATCTGTCTCTCTGTCTCTCTCTCTCTCTCTCTCTTCCCCTTTCTATATGAAGTCAAGGCCACAAGGCGAGGCTGTTGAATGGACACTCACGGGCAAAAGCCGGCAAAAGGACACCTAAACCGCCTTAAACAAACACCGTTGGGTACACCGGTGTGTCACTGGGTCCTATTGATTGAGTCACATCACGCCACATGCATATGTCCTTTAAACTTGAGGGAGCTGCTGCGTGGTAACACACCCCTAGTTCCAATTGTGGTCACTAAGCAATCACCAAACATGAGCGGCCACTCTTCTGTCCTTTGTCAACGGCCACTCTTCTGCCAGTTGGAAGGTTCCAAAGGCGTCATGAATAGGACACCAGTTGTCACGAATTAGGACTGCTTCGAAGCGCAAACAGGAAGTAATTCGATGCTTCAGTGCAGGAGGCTCTTGTTCTAATTGGAAACTATTGCCTCACCGATTCTTTTTTGGACCCTTCTTGAATACCTTGAGAACAACCGTCCTGAAACCATTCCTTTCCCCACCGTAACCTCGTGGTGCACCAGGTGCCCAGGCATCTTGAACTCCTCAAAGCACTTGGCGATGGTCAAAGGGTTCAAGCCCTGCCGCGACCTCAACGCCTCAAAAACCCAACGGTTCAGCGCGGCCAAAGGTGCCCGCAAACATGGTCTAGTCAGAGTCTATTATATAAATGCTCCCGACTTGCCAGGCTGATCTGTCCAATGAGTAGAGGATTCAACCAAGTGCTTCGAAATCCGAATGGCAGGCTGGCGCACCAAATCATCGTCGACCACGGCTGGCGCGCGAAGAGCCCAGGCACAAACCACTGCTTCGATTTGATCTTCGCCGCCTTCTTTCGATTGAAGCGCCTGCCGGACCCGAACGGGACGCCGACGAAGCACGCCGACGAAGCGCCTACGTCCCGGTGGTCTCCGAGAAGAGAACGACCAAACAATGCTGAACAAGACTCTAACAGTGCTGCATATAGATTTGAATGAATTTGTTGTGGGCTCGCTTCATCCACGGTCAATCTGCTTGAAATTGCAAATTCATGCAAATTATATGTGATTCCACAAGGTCATGAACCAATTGAACATGCATCACAGCATCTTCTGGGGAATCGACGATTATATGTGATTCCACAAGGTCATGAACCAATTGAACATGCATCACAGCATCTTCTGGGGAATCACCTCAATTTTCTTATGGCACCTCAAATTACCAGCATATGTACACCCAGGCTGGAGCAAAAAAAACATGTCACGCATAACACATGTTCACAAATCTCGCATGGTGAGGACCCGAGAATTGACTTGCACACTGTCAGGCAATCATCTTGTTTTAGTGGATTCAGTTACCACAAAAATAGTGGTTCCAAAGAAGAATGCATAGACTATCATAGACTCAATAGAATTCAGACCCAAAGCCTCCGGTTCCATTGTATTTTTTTGGTACAGCGGTCACTGGTCACAGCTGTATCCGGTTCAAGAATCTGCACAAACCAAGCCAGTCCTCATTTCGATGCCAAACCAAGCCAGTCCTCTGATGGCGGTCGCGTGAGGGATGAGAAGTTAGCAACAACATGCAACAACTCAGACTCGGCTCCGCCAAAAGGCCCCTGAAACATCCAATGGGCTCGACATCCTTGAGGCTCGGCTTGAGCATTGGTCATTTGATGTCATTTGAGAAGTTCATTTTGGAGTCCAGGATGTGTCCGATGCTCCATTTCTACACGCAAACAAAAACTTTGCCCACCAAAACACACCAGCGCAGCCAACAGCGAGACAGGCCAAAGTGCCTTGCAAGTCAAATATATAAACTAGTAGCTCCTGGCCTTACTACTAGGAACAAAATGCTACTAGTAGCAAAAGGGATTTCTACTAGGAACAAGGACGCTACTAGGAACAAAGGGCATCGCTACTAGGAGCAAGGACGCTACTAGGGGCTCCTGGCCTTACTACTAAGAACAAGAAGCTACTAGGGGCTCCTGGCATCGCTACCAGGAGCGATCGGACGCTACCAACCACTTCGTTCCGCCCAGTTCCACCCATTTCAGTTCTTCGACGTCGATGCGTCCTGGGCCATCCCGTCCATAGGGCCGAAGCATGTCGTCTGTGGCATCCCGGAGAGCCGCCCACATCTCCTCCAGCTCCTCGGTGTTCGGCACGGCCAGTGGCGTATTTCAGCGGGAGAGGGGTTGGTTTGGCGGATACAGGAGCTGGATAGAGGGGCAAATAGAGGTTCTATGGGAATGTTTTGGGTGCACAGTGCCAGGGGATCAATGCTGTAGGAGTTCTGTGTCAAGAAGTTCTCCCACTATGCAGCAAAGCATCTTTATCTTCACCAGGCCAACCCGAGTTGATGAGCCCAAGCATAAACTCCACCTGCCATTTACACCGCTTCAAGAATGCTGGAATGCAAAAGCATGTATGGCTACTTGTGTGGCTGTATGGCTAGATTCAGCTAATGTCACTTCAATTATTTTGTATGTTGCGAGGTGCTGTCCATGCACAATACATGGAAGTGGGACTAGTGGCTAGTGGGACTCCCTGACAGTAAAGGACATCGTTATTTCCTTTTGACTGATGAGATTGGACGCATTATAGATGAGAACAGAAGCATTATAAACCTTTTGTAGTAGGGGACACGGGGCTGGAAACATACAGTAAGTAATGATCATTCAAATGCAAGCTTTCGCGGCTTTCGCGGATGGCACCGTTGCGGGTGGAGTAGAAATTATCCCACCCCTGAAAACAAGTTATGGAACCGGAGGTGGAACACCACCCGTTTGGTAGTTTGGTACTCGGAAAATGGTCATCCAAGGAGCCATGACATCCACGAGTGTTCCAAAAGTGTAACCGTCTAAATTATGTTATTGCCATGTATCGCCAAGCAATATACATAAAAACAAAAAAACTGTATAATGCCCCGTGTATTGCCAAACAATAAGCGGAAACACCAAAAAATAGATGTATGTATAATGTCCCGTCTTCATGAAAAAAGAAAGGCTTCAGGAATCTTAGAATCGAGGAACGCGTAAAAAAATGCTTCGTTCAGGGCAGCAAATGGCCAAGTCACTGAAGTCACTGTTGTGTGCCAACCCGAGTCATCTATATATCTTGACTGAGGTTATAATTGCACTAGGGACTAAGAAGGGAAGAAAACATAATCAAAATCACTTGTTGGAACATGGAACCTAAAATAACCTAAAGAACTCCCAGACCGACATGCGCACATCTCCGTGGCTGGCCCCGACCTTGGAGAGCGCCTCAACACGAGGCTTCTTCTTCATGTCTTCGAAGGGTTCCCTGAAGGTGCCAGGTCAGGTGGTCTGGCACTGCTGCACTTGCAATGCCGATGCTGCTGATGGACACTGGTGGAAGTCCTTGACTCCGCTTCCCACTTCTTGGCTCATTGGCCCATGAAATCCGTGCTAGGGAGACCCCCCATGACCCATCAATAGGCGGCCTCCATGGAGCTTGGTGCATTAGATTGAGCAAAACACAGTGTTCTAATCACACATAATTTGAAAGGTTTTCAAAAGGCTTGGAACTGTACCATGGGCCACTGTACCGCTTCTTAAAAACAATCAACACAATATGTATCCCAAATTAGCATGTGTTATATATATATATATATTCAAAATTATGTGTTGCATATAGAGTAACAGTAACATATAATGATGTAATATAATGTAATATAAAAAATACAAAATGTGTATGTATATATATATATGCCATTCTTATAGATATATATATAGCATCCATGAGTAACCTAAATGTCTCCCAAGATTCAACCAACGCGTGACGGTCCGCACTGATGGGAAGGTGGCACCGGGTCCCGGGTCCCGGGTCCGCCAAAGGGGTGGCCGAGCTGCTCGGTGGCCAAAGCCAAAGCGGCCACTTGCCTAACGAAAAACCGGAGAAAAAAACGGTGGACAGAGTGAACAAGTGCCTCATGGATATATAGGGGTATAGGGGTATAGTGCCTCATGGTATAAGTACTCCAAAGAAATGCGGGTATAGGATCGTGCATCATGCGTCCATCATCCTACTTGGATCGATCATTAGACAGCATGCAAGCTTGCAAGCCTGGAAGAACAAAGGGTGTTCTTTTCTCCAATAACATGTTTCTTAGAACGCTGGCAGTCGTGCTTGATGGCTGTTAAAATTCATGTTGCTCTTATGTTGACTATCGGAATCAGCCACTCCCCCTGATCCTTCGGTCCTAAAAAATCACCTCCATTCCAGCCCGTACCATTCCGATCCCACATGATCCAACCTATCATGCACAACCACATGACATGCTCCACAATCCGTGATTTCGGCAACCTCCAGCATTCAACATGTCTCAATCACACTGTCTTCTCTGCCTGTGTGCCGCGGGTGAGGCATTGAGACACCCCATGCTCCACAATAATTGCATCCGTCTTGGCAAAAAAAAGATTGCCAAGCCACTGCATGAACTCATCTGAGCTTTGAAAGCGTTTTACGCAGTACTGCCTGAAAGCACGCCATTTCCTGCATGTCATTTGACATGGTGCGACGTCTGCTACGTTGCAGCTACGTTGCAGCTACGTTTGCAGCTACGTAAAAACATCGGATCACATCTCAAGCGGAAAATGGCTGGCACGTGACCATGTGCACCATGTGCTTCGTGACTCCTCTGACCTGCTTTCTGACCTGGAAAACTTCCTTTGAATCTGTCTAGCGTCTAGCCGCTGGCGGAAGCCATCAAGAGGCGCCCGCAGGTTGAAGTATTTATCGTGCCCCTCTTTTTGTACATGGGTTGTGTGATTTTGACGGGCTTTTGCGTGGCCATACGCCTGTCTATAGATGTCTATAGTCCTTCCACCTTCCACCTCTATTCTCATCTTTCCTCATCTACCTCACTCAACAGCATCCTCAACCCCCTACTCCTCGGATGCGTTGGCCCCGCCCTGGCGGATCCCCTCCACAGATATATGCCGGTCGCAGGTCTTTCGGTCCTGTCTGTGATGGCATCGATTTCTTCCAGAGTGATTTCACCCGAGGAGTCCTGCGAGTCGGGACTCAGCGCTGGACGGTCAAGCGGGGGGGACCATCTCATCCGAAGCGATGAGGATCCAAATAGGAATGCATACATGGGAGGAGAAATCATCAAAGAACAAATGGGACCTTTGATTTAGGTATCATTTGCATCTATTCATGGTATTTGTATAATGTTCTATCTACTTGCGCATGATTCAATCTCTTTATACTCCCACTCAAACCTTGATCACCCTTCCTGTCAAAGGCCCTTGTTACTGTACTTGCACAATATAGATTCGATTCACAAAGGCACCTTATGGCACCTTGCTCTCAAAATGTCTTGGCGGCCAAAACGACTCAAAGAGTTTCAATATGACTCAAAGGTTTTGTATTTGATGCCACTTCAGTGGCTTGTTTAGGCCTCAAGCCTTGCAGCCGTGCCTCCAGGCTCGGCAGGAGAGCAGCTGTGTTTTGCTCTGACAATGTCGTGAGGTGCCACAGCTACATTGCATATGGCTTACGATGATGATGATGATGATGATGATGATGATGATGATGATGATGATGA